GTGACCCATATGTGTAGCATCTAGCAAATGAAGCACTCTTGGAAAGTTCTTCTATCCCACTTGATTCCTCCATAACTTCAGCCTTGTAGGCCTTCACTCTTGATATATCAATATATTTGTTCTCTCTTTGTCAACACCAGCTAAAGGATCTGAAGCAATGACTTCTAATTGGGATAGTCCAAATGAAGTGCTTTGAAAGCATCCCACATCAGGCCGTTGAGCCCTACGAAAGTGGCCAACATCCCATTCATAACAAAAAACACATGGGCCATTCCACAACCATGAAAAAACCCAAACAAGCCATGAAGAACACTGGCCAAGAAGAAACAGAACATGAACACTTCATAAAGAACATTGGCCAAGCAGAAACAGAACATATAAAGTGCTCAGGAGAAAGAATTTAGTAGGAAGTGGAGGCCTTGAGCTTAAATTCCAACTAAATTCCTCACCATAGGTCCAAAAAAGTAGAGACATGTGCAACAGGATCATTATTATCATACTATGAGAGGCACCAAGGGACAACACCAAATGGATAGCACCAAAGGGAAACCATCACATGAGCTAATAGAAACATGAAGAGGGAAGGTTCCATAACTGGCTTATAAGCAGGTTGCTGGTGGAAGCCTTGAATTTCAAAGTCAACACTTTGTTCCTTATCACCTGTTGGATTAGATAGCTCAGAGTATTCGGGTCTCGGTATTGATTTCGAGATCTTCTGGAATTCCTTTTCATCCAAACATAGTAGACTGAAGCTATAACGCCCCAAAATCTCCCTTGGACGACATCACTATTTAAAATCATTCACATCATCAGAGCTACTAATATGATCCATAAGTAAAGAGAATTTCATTCATCATTCATAATATTTACAACTTCATCCAAAAAAATAGGCCAAGTCATGTCCATTTCATCCAAAAGAATATGTCCAACTATAGCAATTACATTCCAAAAGAATTAAGTGGTATCTTGCAGTGGAATAACAAAATATGCTAGACTTCACATTGTCTCAAAAGAAATTTCCTAGTCTAGACATAAAAGAATATAGCTCTAAATGTCCACCTCAGGATCCACGTGCCCATCTATTGGAGCTTCCCAATGAATCGGCTCCTCAACTCCGATCTCCTCCTCTAGACTACAATCTGAAAAATACATTGTTTGTAGGGGGTGATCACTAAACTCTGTAGCAACATCCTCCCAAACTCGAACAAGGTTTAAAAAACATATAAAATAGTTCGGTCTCTTTTTCTAAAATATCATATAAACTTGAAATAAAACAATGAAAATTTATTCGATCTCAAGTTAACACAATGACAATAAGTTAAATGAAAGGAATAAACATGTCAAAATTAAAGAAATCAATATATCATTCAATAGCATTATCTTATATTCTCATGTATTTTGGTTGCTTCCCTTGAATCTACACAACGACTCTACCTCGTTTACTCATCATAATCACACAATCCCAAACATTTTAGGAAGGGCATATACCATTTCCCATGACATTGATGAATCCTTCCCAAGAAAAGTATATCATCACTTAGCCTCGAACTTATGTGAACAATAGTGGTTGCTCTCATAAATAATAATTCACTACAAGTGCTAGGCAACTATCTCACCCCCCACTGGGATAGACTAATCTCTAACACTCTACGACAGCACTCGAATGCAATTCAATTCCATCACAACAATCATACAAGAGATGCAATAACAACCATTTTCTCAAATCACAAATAAATCAAAAACCCCCAAATTTCCATAGGCATTTTTCCAATTGAACAATTTAAGAAAACATACAAGAGATCATCGCAATTACCATTTTGTTCAATACAAAGCACTAGAGTTTTGAAATCAAGAACAAAGGAATATTGAGAGAAAAAATCATTTTTCTCAAAATCTAAGGTTTTCAAGACAAGAGAAAGAAATTTTATGGCTATCCCACCATAGCTTCCATCAAAACATGGTACTAATTGCAAGAGTATCAAGAAATAATGATTTCATAACATATATATAGGATTAAGAGTAAAGACACACACACACACACACACACACATATATATATATATGTCCTAGCCTCAATGGATAAGAGTGGAAGGAAATCCCTACCTTCTTCTTCCTTAGTTTGGTGTGGAGACTTGAAACTTTGATCTTTTTCAACTTGAATCCACTCTTTAAATCTCTTGTTTTTCTCCTCCTTTCTTCCTCTTTAAGCCTCTCTAGGATTACAAGTGTTGAAATGGGGCTCAAGAGGGTGTTCTTAAGTATTTATAGGAGGTCAAATGGTGTCCTGTACGCGAATCTAAAAGCCAAAATCCGTAAGTCACGTTCAAACGTCACTAGTCCAAATTAGTGATTAATGTTCAAACGTCACTTGGGCTTTCGAATGTTGGTTACTCCCAGTACTTTTACATTTCCATTAGAGATCTGCAGAGACCAAAGTACTGGGACTCACTACCGTTCGAATGTCCATTCACATTCGAACGTCCTCCCAGTTTCTGCTGTAACTTGCAATGTAGTTTTGACTTATTTAGAGATCGATTTGGAAAATGTTCATGAAATACACTTTTGTAGCCCTAGAAGTCTACTATCTACTGTCAAAATTTCAAATCAAATGGACATAAGGATAAAAAGTTATGATCCAAATACTAGGAAATGTCTAAAATCCTTTCTTCCCAAATTTTGTCTAAAAATGTGTTTTCAATCCGGAATACTTCCAAACTTCTACAACATACTCTATTACCTCAATTAAAACTTTATTTCTACTCATACAATATACATAGTTCATGCATACATCATTACTTATATTAGCATTTCAGAAATAATCACTTTGTTATATCAAAACAAATATAATGTGGGGGTTTATAGAGGCTGCCAAGCAGATTCTATGTATCAAATTTTGCATTGATTTCCCCTTTCAATTGAAAGCAGCCCATTCAATAAGTTCATTCCATGGCTTGGGTTGCCAGACAAATCCACAAGCGAGCATAATATTGTTCCTAACTCTTGATGAATAAGTGCATTCAAAGAACAAGTGAGGGTGTGTCTCATCTACAGCTCTGCAAAGGATACAATTATTGCCTAAGTGGGCAGCTTAAGATTGAATTCTATCAAGGGTACTTAGTCTGGACTTTACAGCTAACCAAAGGATGAAGGTCAATTTGGACCTTATAGTAACCAAAGGGTACTTTTTTGTTTTAGATACCTGAATTGTGCTACTTTTCAGTGACTCTTGTAGCATGTTTTGGAAAGTGTTTTAAACTAGGGAGATTTCCCTGTAATATCCTAAAATGACAATGGTTCAACTAAGACATGAGATATTTTCTAGTTGAGTTTAAATGTTTCTACATGAGCTTATTCGCAACAAGTGAATCAAACAACAAATTCAAATGATATCTCCATATCAAATGATAAAACCTTCTAAAAACTATTCTTTTTGCTCCCAACCATAGCCAATAATGGCACCCCCCGCCCGATGTTTGCAACCACAAATTAAGCCATCACAGAAGTTCTTCAAAGGCATTTTTTGCTTGTTGGAGGATCAAATGCAAGTCCTTCGGTCCCCAAAGGAGTGCATGTGGTGCTGAATGTTCAGAACGCTTTGCGAGAATGTCTATCTCTATTTCCATGAAGTCCTCCACCGTCATCCTAAAGTATTACAAATATCTTTTAGTACTTCGACAACCCTGTTTACTATGTGCATGACAAATAGTGTAGTAGTACTTTGTTGTAGTCAAAATTGAGTGGTTTCTTCTGAAGTGATATTTAACCTATTATCAGCCCAAACATGATACCGCTTCTGATTGCCCAACATTCACAGCTCACTTGGTAGTCAAAGCTTCCTATTGTATTCAATGAACCCCCCACCAAAATAAAAATAAAATCACACATAGCATTCTATTATTTATTAATTGAAATTTGGAAAACCTTTTGTCAAGTTCTCGCTTATTGCAAAAGTTGTGCTAGAGAGATTAAATAGAGAATGATGTATAAGGACTTAATTGAGACAAAATTGATAGTTGAAAGATTAAATTGGGATAATTAAAAGTTCAATGACCAAATTAATTCTGGAGGAAGATTTCAGGAACCAATTATAATTTTGACACTAAAAAAACGACAAAAATGAAGAAGTCCTTCCACGAAAAGTGGATACCTCATTTGCCTCTTATTTTGTCTTTTTTTTTTTCCCTTAGGCCCTTCAATATGAACCTAAAGCTAAATAGTTTGTTCAGCCACTTGAAACAAATGTATCACCTAAAACTAGAATTCAGTCGCATCTCATAATTGTTATAGAGTTTAGAAATGTCAATTATAAAATGGAAACTAAAAAACCTTTAAAAAGTTGCCATAGGCTGTGGGAAATCTTTGAATATTAGGGGGTCATTTGAACCACTCATAGCTAAGGGTTTAAATTGGGCAAGACAACTCGAATCCAACTCCAGCCTAATTTGAAATATTCAATATTTGAGTATAGATTATAATTCTCGAGTATGATTTTAACAAAAAAAATTCTGACACGATATAAATTCAGACAGTACTTTGGTTAAAATTTTAGGTTTATGAGACCCAACTCCATCCTGAAATGAATCCAAAATTTCATATCGAGTTGTGGTACTGGAGAATCGAACTAGAATTGAGCTGATTTTGACCCAAAAATTGATTAATATAATTATGATAACTATAGAAAAATGGAATATCTAACCTGGGTACAGCACCAAATTTTTTTGGGGGGTACTCTATAGTCTTCTCCCAACAACTATGTTCCATACGAGGAAGTGAACCCTCACGGGAACATTTGCATAGAAAGATAAGCTGAGGTTAATTTCAAACCTCTAGCTCAAAAATATATAAAGTTGAGAAATTCTATTTCACATGGAACCAAAAGATCCTTTTGATTGATTATTCAATACAGTATATTTAAACACTAGCTGTCATATTATATAGATTACAATTTTCACACGAAAAAAAAGGAAACAACAAACATTACTTGGGATTTAGAATAGTACATATAGTCTGCACTGCAGTGAGTAAAAGTAGGGCAACAGCAGCACCAAATGAAATAAGTGCCCATGGACTGTTGAAATACTTGTGCCTTAAGTTTGCCATCCATCGGTTGTAACGCTTCCTACAATGCTCATTCACATTGTTGAAAAGTTGGGCGTAACAGAAGTTATCAGAGACTATGACACCACCAATGCCAAGTTTGTTTAACATGGTGCAAACCGCAACATCGTCACCTAAAAAGTTATTGATAATTCCGCAGCGACGAAGCAAATTGGCATCATTTGGCAAGTTGACAAGGCAATCCATGAAACAAGTATAATCGATGACATATCTTTGACAAGTATCAGGAAGAAACTGCTTGTATGCAATTAGATTTCTTAGTGCAAATTCAGTGTCATCAGTAATCTTCAATTCAGGAATTTCTATCAACCCATTACTGAAATTGATATCAACCACACTCCGATTTCCCCAACTGCAGCCGCCTTCAATTCAATTCCAAACTCTTTGAGCTCTGTGACTGAAATTATGAACTTTCATTTGTTCTCATTTCCCCTTATGTCACTATCGGATGCAACTTGGGCATATGAAATATACGTACTATAGTGTACCAAGTGGAGTAAATGCTTGATATCACTGACTGTGTTGTCGTTTGGAACTACTTCTGAAATGGGTGGTGCGAGCAATATATTATTCATGAAAGACAATGCTAGATTACACAGGTCATTTTGTTCATTTGGCGCACTTGTCATGTTGAATAATAGAACAGGAATAAAAACTGGAAGTTGATTTTCAAAAAATAGTAAATCACGCTGTATGCTATTCCTAATTTGAACAAACTTAAAAATAGGATCATCTGTGTCTCTGAGCTCTTCATTTTCATACTTACGAAACAATTCAATGATAAAACAATTGTCCAGAAGCATCATTTTCACAAAATTACCTTTATCAAGGCTACTGAATTCTTCATAACATTTTCTTGCTTTCTCTTCCATGTCACTTAAGGCCATGACATATTTGTCGTCACTCATCTTATTTCTTCGTGTAAGTAGCATTCGCAAATATTGCATTTTATGTTCTTCCATCTTTTGTAGTTTATCTTTACCATAGTGATAAGGACCAATTGCTAGTATTTGTGGTTTATAAGATTTCCCATTTTCAATGCGTAGTTCGTTATACACCCTGAAGATGCACTTCTTAGAGGATGTAGGAGATAAGCAAGCAAGCTCTCTATCTATACTCATGAAGATGAGATCAGCTTCTTGCAACATATTTAGCTAGTACAAACAATCATAAGAGCTCCAAATTAACAAGAACTAAATGTACACTCAAAAACGTGTATCTTACCACACAAACCATTTTCTATCCAAAACAGGACGGACATTCAATTTCGGGGCAGTGCCAAACCTATTCAAGTAGTTGAAGGTACAATTTAAGAAACTCAATAATTAAGGGAGAAAAAGTATAGTCTGTACATATTTTGCATAGGAGCAATTATTGTGGAATCTTATGTGGACGATGAAGAGCTCATACGAATACTCCACGATTCAAAAGCTTTGTAAGCTGTAATATTTGAGTTCATTTCAAGTTTTGAATGAAAACTTGAAAATGAAGAGTGTGTTTGAGAGGACTTATTAAATCTAAAAAATATTTTTTTAATAAATGTTTATCAAAAGTATTTTATAAGAAAAATATTTATTATATAAGTATTGTTTCGATATTCAAATTTTAAAATATTTAAATTAATATATTTTATGAAAAGTACGTTTGGATGTAAAAAACACTTATTTGCGTCACAATTGTTAATAGCATTAAATGCACATATACAAATATATACTACACATATAATAATACACCAAAAAAAAAATATCATACAAAAAAATATCATATTTATAAAAGTATCATACAAAAAAATTACATAGTCTAACTATCACAATGACATACTAAAGTCGCAAAACACACGTTAATAGTAAATACAATCAAAAATCATGTTTGATTGTCCCTTAGAATTGCCGAAGCAATATATTTTCTCTTCCCATACATTTTTTATTTATTCAGAAAAGCCGTAATTACAAGAAGCAAATAAAAGGAAAAACATAACGTTTTCCTAATTTCAGCGAGAACTAAACAAAAACAAATTAACCAAAAAAAACCAGTTGGCAGCACAATGGCAAATGCTCCACCTTTTCTCATTCTTACAGCAAACATCAGAAGACAGCCTTCCAGACAAGCCTAACCTGACACCCTGCTAAAATTCCAGAAGCCATTCAACTCTGCCACAAGCAAAACAACAGACAACCACCATCCCTTTCGTTCACACCCAGAAAAACAGCAACCTTAACCCTTATCATCATACACCAAAATTTTCTTCTTTCTAGAAACTGGAAACCCTCTTAGATCCTGCGCAATAGCCATTCGAACTTGAAAAGACTTCTCTTAACTCCCATAACGAGCCTAAATATATTGAGGCTTTAACTTTCAACATTTCAAGATCGTCCCAACTTCAGCAATTCTCTTTCACTGACGAACAAATCAAACCGTTTATATTTCAACAAATCAAATATAAATTTTCTAAGAGACATTTTATCAAACAGTTTATAGGAAAGAGCACTCCATTCCTAACAATAATATAGCAGTGTATTTAGTAGAAATTTAGGTTCCTAAAAGCATAAACAAAGATGAATGGAGAGAGAGAGAGACAAATCTAGCATATATGTTCCACATAATATACAAATCTAAGAAAAATTAGACGAAATAAAAGTTGAAAGAAAACATGAGAAGTCATACTTGTTCGAAGTGGATTGGGTCTGAACTCGTAAAGTGCAAGCCAAAACTACAAGCAATGCTCACAAAACATCTCACATGATGCAAGGTTTAACTTTGCATGACCTTGAGAGCAAATTCCACTTTGACCTTAATATATCCCAGACCTCACATTATCCCCTCAATTATAATATTTTTTTACATTGCATCAACCATTATGATTATTGATGTTACATTCTTCTCACTACTATCACGTTTCTCACATGGCACCTTCTATTATGATTATTGATTTTGCATTGCCCCAGTTATAGACATTGAAAACTGTATTTTGTTATACATTTAATTTATAAATGTAGATATTTTTTGTCCAACACATGAATGTTTGATTTTTGTGGCAATACGAAACTAATTCAAGTAGTTGAGGAGCAAAGCCTAGATTCGTGCTCCAAATTTTTTCAATACAGGCGGGGCTTGATCTTGGCTAAGCCCCATCCCCACTTGGGCACTCAATCCGGACCCACCCCGTAGCCCGTGGTACGGGCAAATGGTACCAATTGGACTGGGATAATTATTTTATGAAAAAAATAATCAAAATATATTAATTAGAAACAATATAAATTTATGAAAGTAATAAAATGTCGATTATGAAATTGTTATTTACTAGTGGTCACCTCGTCAGTTAGGGAAGGTAGAAGATGATAGATGTTTACAAAATAATTATTTATATTGCGGGGGGCAAAGTGAAAAAATCTCATACTTGGGGAGTGAAGTGCCAAAATTTTTCATCCAAACTATCACCAATGTTTGTCATCGAGGTAGTGAAGGAATAGAAGTACAACTTATTTTTTCAAATAATTCATCCTGTGAATTATCGTACTTTGCAGCTTCTAAATCTTCTGAAATAATTGCTTTAATTGGAAGCTTACCTCACACCAACAATTTGTGAAGACTTTTGTGAGGGGGTGCAGATTGAAATACAACTGAAATGTTGGATGACAAATTAGGCGAAAAAGAGCTACTAATTTATAATGGAAGTTTATTCACCCAAAATGAGTTTAGATGAATACTCATTTTTTCTTGATCCACTGTCACCCAGAGCAAAGTGAAAAAACTCATACTTCAGGAGATTTAGTGGCAAAATTTTTCATACAATCTATCACGAATGTTTGTAATTTGGTTAGTGTAAAAGTTATGACCATTGTTAGTGTAAAAGCTATGACCATGGTAGTGTTTTATTTAAATTTAAATTTAAGTTTAAAGAAACGCGAGAATCAAAGATACTCAAATTTTATAATGGAAAAACACACGTGCACTTCAGGTGATTGGGATTGCATAAAATTTTTAGACAAGTTATAAAATATCTCAATGAACTCAACCCAAACCACAACTTGGCGTGCGTACTGATTAATAATTATATCTTCTCTTTGGACTTTTTTAAATATGAAATTAAAAATCACTGTAATAACTTTTTCAATTCAGGCTGGCTTGATCTTGGCTCAGTCCCATCCCATGGAATAGTCAAGCCCTACTAGAGGCTAACACTTAATCCGGACCCTCCCATGGGCAAATGGGATAGGCCATGGCACAAAACGGGTGGGCTAGTTTTGTTTATGAAAAAAAAATAATAAAAAGATATTAATGAGAAAAAATATAAATTTGTGAACGTAATATCATATATATAACTTATGACATAGTTATTTACCCATGGCATGGTTAAAGCCTAAGCCAATTAATACACACATACATGGCTTTGAACCGACGGTCCAGGTGTTCAGAAAAAAAAAGGGGCGGGCTAGCTCGTGGACCGATTGTAGTGGGTAGGCTTTGGGTCTCCACGAGCCGGATTTCTAGCCAAACCACCCTTCATCTTTTTGGGATTGTAGGAGCAAAGTAGCGATGTTAATGGACCGGAGTGGGAACGGGGGGAGTAGTCTCCATCCCGTATTAATTTAAAAAATATTCGTCCATCCCAATTAGCGGGAGAGATTTTAATCCCCATCTCTGCCACGCTAGTAAATTTTGATCTCCGTTCTCGTCTATAACAATTAATTTCTATACTTTTAAGAAAAAAATTGAAAAAATATTTAATAAAACCTCACAAATGAATTTTCAAGAAACACGAAACCCCATTATATGACAAATAAATAAATAAAATGTGAGAAAGTTAAGTATTTTTTTTTTAATAAAGAGAAAAGTGTATGGGTGGGCGCGGTTTATAGTGATTTTATGGATATGTATTAATAAGAGCATCTTCAACAAAAAAATGCATTTTACCTACTCAAAAAGTAACATTTTATATTTTAATTGCTCAATTTTTCAATACCCCTCCAACAGATTTTTTATATTTTTAACTACTCCTTTTAAATATTATTTTTCATTCCTTTTATATTATTTTTTTTGGTAATAGTGAAAGGGAGAAAGAGAGAGAATGGAAGAAAGGAGAGAAAGAGAGAGAAAATAATATAGATTATCTTTACAAGTAGCGACAGTTGTAAAACCTGGATAAATTTGAACTTTTTCTGAAAAATGGTAAAATGGTAATTTGC